AATATAAGAGGAAAAATAAAACCCAGAAATGAGGGTAACTGAAAAGCACTGCAAGACTACCACATCATTATGACTTTTCAAATTATTTAAATATGCTAAATATCAAGTCACCACCAAAGAAATAAATATTGCATAGGCCATATGCTCTGTTAGCTGCCAGCAAAACTGTCCTACTAGGATTAGTTTATGGGCACAAGCAACTGCCTGTCAAACACTAGCAATTTTAGTCATTTTTCAATTTGCTGTGTGAGTTGCGAGTATGCTCAGGTATTTTGACAGGTGGCTGCTTGGAACAAATATCTGAGCCCAGTAGCTTCACACTGCCTTGCTTTCCTACGCACTTGCAATTCCTGTCGGACTGGGGGGATGCAAGCGTTTGGTGAAGAGGCAGCAGTCACGGGAAAGTCACTGTACTGCACTGCTAAGCTGTATTTGCAACTCACAAAGAACACAAGGATGACACAAAGTTAGCCTAAAGTCTAGTGCAAACCAATAGCTGTGTAATATAATGTTTCACTTGATTTTTCAAAGCATTTCTAACCACAAACAAGCTGAACATCTAAAAAAAACGTAAATAGACATCTGGCTATGATCTTAAACAAATAAACAGAAAACCTGAAATAGTACTTTTCTGCACACTAGATGTGCTTTCAGTACTACATGTGATTTATCTATTATGCACTAACTGCCCACTTAATTATTTTGTGTTTAATCTACAAGGTAGTACTGAAAATAATTTTAGCTCTTCTGTTGCATTTTCTAATGACCAGTATAACTGTGCTGTTCCCTTTCAGCCGCAATACTTCGCGTCACACAGAAACAAGTTCCTAACTTGAAAAAAACATAACTCTATTGATTTTTGAGTGTCCACATTTCCAGGTGTTTGGGAAAAATTAGGCTCCTAAAATCTATAGACATTCTGGGAGAAACGAGGGGAGGAACTACATTTTCCTAAAGAAGTGAACCAATAACATCGAAGCACCATAAATAAACTACATTTCCAATACTGTTCTTTATACATTAGCATTCTCAGCATCAACCCCCTGAAGTCAGCCAAATCTGTCCAGTGGAAAGGATTTGGATTATGATGTTAACTAACAGTAAAGACAATTCCAAATAACATCTAATGTCCAATATAACTACTGTTTACATATTAAAAAGAGATACAGGCTTTGTACCAGGGATGTTCTGTCATGTTTCTCCACAGGAGAAGACTGTCATGGTAAAGTTCATTATCAATTACTGCTTTACAAGTAGAAGATGAGTTAAGCTGTCATAATTTTCTCAGCCAGAGATCCTGTGCTGTCAAAGAATGTCAATTTTTAATCTGACAAAAGGAAGAAAATTATCTGTTATTCTGACCTCTAATTTCTTGACATTTTAATGCTGTAATTGCTGTGGTTAGTGCTGCAACCATGATTTCACCTGTCAAGTAAGAATGAATCAATATCCTTAAGCTGTTCTTCAAGTTTTAGCTTTCACGTCACTGCTTTTACTTTAAAAATGGAAAAATTTACAAATAGAATACAAAAGGTTGCAACAAAAAAAACAAACAAAAGAATAATTTGGGGCCTGAAAATGTTTATTTTGTTACACATTTTTTCTCCTCCTTATTACAATATGAAAACAATTTTGCAACGTGCAGAATAAGAGACCATTAGAGTTGATAGAACTGGAGAATTTCCCAATTTCTAATCATAAATGATCTAAACAAAATTCAATTTTATACATTCTGTGGAGCATTTAAGTCAGGACTTTCATCTTGCCCTCATCACTATTTGAAATAAATTATAGTGATCAAATATTTTTTGTGGTATCAGAAAATTACGAAGTTGTTTGAAAAATCAAAATCAGCATGTTCAAATTAAATCAGTATATTTTACCCATCCAGTGCAGATCTTAAATTGCCAAAGAGTTATTAATGGGGCAGACATATGTAATTTTATAGACTTTATTAATCTAAAACTTAATGCTATCCCAGCACGCCGGTTTCACCCATTTTGAATTTGCAAAATAGAAAACGAAGAAAGCAAGCCAGACGGAGAGTCTTCTACTAAATAGGTCAAAACAGAACAAAAGCATAGGATGGCCATTTTTCCAGTCTTAATCAGTAGAGAGTTCTTAGAGGGCTCCCCCAAGCATGTGAGAAAGATGTAAGGAATGGCAGGGACGAGTTATCCCACCATTGAATAAATTTTTTCTCCAGCCAGAAAGCTGCTGAAGTGACTCCTTTACCATTCTTAACAGAAAGCTAAGAACAACATATTCCTCAGTGGTTGAGTGAGGTGCTCAAGCAAAGGGTGAAAGTGAAAGGGCCAAGGTATAGAATGAACAGGTCATGGGGAACTGCCTTTTTAAATGATGTCTTTCAATCAGCTCAGACCTAAATGGGAGGGTTTTTTTATTTGGAGCCTTATTTCACTGGGAAAATTCTGCTGGGACTCGGCTCAATGTGAAATTAGTTACGGCCACAGTTTGAGGAGGCTACTGCCGTATTTGGGACCATTGGTCTGGTAACGGCTGCTCCCAATAAGGTTGTATTGATTGGCTTATTTTACAGCCATTTATTGAGAACATTCATCATCTTCTTTGTGACAGAACAAAAATGTTTCAGTTTATTTAGAAAATAAACATCAAGAGCATTTGGATACTGAGAGATGCATTTTCCTGGATAACTGCAAAGCTCAATTAATTTTAAATTGCAGTGTTTCTAAGTTAAGATGCCAGACTGCCACACACCACCCCCTGCCACTGTAAAACATACTAAACAATTGTTATCACTATTTTTAAAGGTGCTAGTGTTCCTATCCTTACAGTTCTGTATTTATAAGTGGTCTTCAGAGGCTTTTAAAAGATCTTTTTGCTTTTAATTTATTTTCTGGAATATCTAGTAAAAGCCAGAATAAAGTACAAAAAAAAAAAAAAAAGCCAACAAAACAATGTATATAGAACATATATACTTGTAACAGAAACAGGACATCCAAACACCTGATCTACTTGATCATCAAGACGTCAAATGTTTTATTACTGGCCAGAGAATGTCTGCTAGTTTCATAAATAGAGCTCAGGGAAACAGAAGATGTCTCTTAATCTGTCTATATTTACATGTGTATTGTAATTTCTGATTAAAAATGAATAAAAAGTATTTTTAACCTTTTTATGACAAACCACAAATCACGAATGTCTGAGATCTCTTGGAGGAGAAAGCATACTATTTTTAAATGCATGCATACAACTTTATGTATCTATATATAACAAAAATAGGAGGATTCATTTTTTCTAGACATATTGCCTTCTCATTGCTAACAATGAATTTTATTTACTAATCTAACTTGTGGCAATGAAGATAAAGTTGTGCTTAGAAGTTTACACAGCGTAAATAGCCTAAGAAGAGGTTTATATGCTATTGACTGACAGGGCGTGGGTTAGATGTACAAGTGAGTGAACAAAAACATCTCCATGAATTTCTTGAAATTTCTGATGACAAGTTATGCATGTAAGTAGAGCCACAGGAGAGCTGAAGAGTCTCATCATGTCATAAGATGTTAAATAGGGTGCACAGACAGACAGATAGACCTCAATCCTACAAACTGCCTTGTGGGAGTAGACCCTTAAAGTCAAGACATAGGAGTCTGCCCATGCAAATCAGGATCTTAAGCCATGCAAATCCCTTGTATTCATGGTGCTTGACACCTGTTTTATACGTTAAAAAGCATTGCTCCTTCGTATCTCCAGTTTTGTACCTTACTGACTCTTCTCGTGCTCAAAGTTTTAAATCCAGAAAACTGTTATGTAGATGTTAACATTAAATATTTGAGGCAGTGGGATCAAAGCAATTCTGGCCATTCTTAAAACTAAGCAAATACTAACCGTTTACAAAATACAAGCTTTACAGTGCATGATGTGAAAATCCGGCTCTAGGAAGCTATAGGTCTGAATGTTTTTTTAGTTCTGCTCCTTGAAAAGCACCAAATGTAACAAGATGCAGCAATGCACTACTTAAAAAAACCACACCAAAACCCAATATTTAGCTGACTACAAATGCTTTCTAGAATCTATTTCTTTCTGAAATCTGTAGATTTCTGTCTCCCAGATTGGAAAACAAATAAACAAACAAACAAAAACCCATCGCCTGGCAATGTATAAATTATTACTGTTTTGCATACAGCAGATGGCAGCTATCTGGGGGAATGGAAGATCGTGTGTACAGCTTCATCACAGCGGTACTCATCTAGCAGCTGTTGCTTCTTCACACTTTTCACCAAATTTCAATTGTTTTAGCCAACGAATGGATGATACTAGAAAATGATCATTCAAATTAATAGTCTTACTAAAGCCAAATACAGTCACTGGAAGGAAACATGTATCAGGATAGCTAGCACAATTTTTTTTTTAATTTACTGATAAATTTAAAAAGCTCACTTGTATATATACGCATGTATATATATTTCACGCATACATATATACAAACATAAATGCTTGTATGCACAACAAATAGCAAACATTTTCTATTTTGGTAACAGTTTGATTATACTTTACGTGATTAAAACAAAAGTAATCTGAATAATTGCTACTGTAATTCTAACAAATATACTCTTTTTCAGATACATATTCTCACCAACATTATCTGACTGAAAAGGTTAGATTTTTTTCCCTATGACTATGATGCATTTTTTTCTTTCAGCTTTTCAGTTCTACTAAGTGAACTTATATAAAAGTAAATTATAAAAAGTAGCAGAATATATATTACAGAATATACATTACATTATAATTTCCCATATCATAATTGACCATTAAATATAGTAACTTCAAGCAAACAAAATACTTTGGGACATCTGTTTTAATGCTAGTTTATTAATACTTGCTTCTGAAGTCACCTAGGGCCTAAGTTCTGAATCAAGTCACACACAACAATTTTCTCCAGCAGTGAAAGATGGAAAAAATACCATTTCTTGTGAGATGACAGCAGTTTTTATAACAAAATGGGACTAAACACCTACCTCCCTGAGGACAGGATCAGTGATACTGTCCAGGTTCACAGAGCCTTCATATGTTAGGTAGTGGAAAACATTGAGTGCACGCACTGCTTCTGGTCCTCGTTGCTTGTAGCCAAATATAAGGTCAATCCACTGATGAAGTTGACATGATACAAACTCACTTTCCAGGGCCTGCAAGTGAAATTCAGAGTTAGGAAGTAAATTCCATCTTGCAATTTCATGTTTAAATTACGTCCTACCTTTTCCTATTAATTGAGGAAACATAATGGGTATCATTACATTTTCTGTCCAGGCTTACTTGATATATTTGAAATCCTTCAAACATTAAAAAACAGAACTAATTATGTTGAGAGAAACACTAAAAAGATATTTTTCTTTCCTTCAGCTTTATAGCATGCTAATTTTCTTCTCGGCTACTGGGTTTCTCCTAGCTGCAAGGGTTTTAATTATTAATTTTTGGCCTTGTCAAATAAGTTAGCTAATTTGTCAAGAAAAACTGATGAAAATGGGAAAATAATTTCAAAAATACAATCTTCCAACTCATTTTCCAACTAGTTCTAATTAGTCTTAAATCTAAAATGGAAACTTGAGGATTAAAAAGCTGTATCAGCAAAATGAGGTTCTGAACTCCATGTGTGAATTGTGAATGATTTCTCAAAGGAGAAAAGCATTTTTCACACTCATTTTTGACATTAGGTTGGTTCACCAAAGAAAACACAGGCTGTGACTAGGTAGTTTAAAAATGCGTTCAAGGACTGCTATCCCTTTGCTCAGCATATGGAAAGAGATTAATTCTAGATGCAGGAAATGATGATAGTATTACCGTTGAGCCTGATCCAACCAATGCGTCTTTATCAGACATGATTGGCATCCTTAGTAGATAACGTTGCCTGAACTGGAGCTTTCGAAAGCTGAAGGCATTGCACAGTTTCTCCTTACCCCTCTACCAGACTACCTGTCTTAGTTTCCCATGAGTCTGTACCTGGACACACAAATCATTCTCCTCTAAAGACTCATCATGTATTTAAGATGGCATGCTGGCACACTCGTTCCTTCTTTCCTAATGCTACCTTCAGAGAAGAACTGTGATAAACAGGAACTGGTATTAAAATAAAGTTTCATGGTTCATTGACCAGGCTTTTATATCTGTCCTTGCCCAAACTCCATCACAGTCCTGATTTTGTACAGTGTCATATACCTAGTTCCCTTCGATCAGAACAAGTGCAGTTCAGTTCTCAGATCTGGGAACTAATTTTCGATTAGTTTGTTAGAAAAAAAAAAAAAATTACAGAATCACAGAATGGCTGAGTTTGGAAGAGACCTCTGGAAAAAACCTGGTCCAACCCCTCTGCTCAAGCAGGGCCACCTAAAGCAGGCTGTCCAGGACTATACCCAGAGGGCTTTTGAATATCTCCAAGGATGGAGACTCCACAACCTCTCTGGGCAACCTGTGCCAGTGCTCGGTCACCCTCACAGTAAAAAAGTGTTTCCTGATGTCCAGATGGAACCTCCTGTGTTTCAGTTTGTGCCGATTGCCTCATGTCATGTCACTGGGCACCACTGAAAAGAGTCTGTCTCGTTCTGAAAAAAAAATACCAGCCTTAATACAATTTATTATGTAAACATCTGTGTCAAGCTTACTGCTACTCACTGCATACAGGCAGAGCTGGCAGCAACCCTCTATATTACATTACCTAATACTTTTCATTCTCAAAGATTGTGGCTTTTTTTTTTTCTTCCCCTGAGAAATCCGAATTCCTCCATTGTTTCTAGCACAGTGCCACTACTCAGCACAAACACTTTCCATCTAGGACAGAGTTTCATGTCTGCCCCAAGAAGGTTCAAATTTTACAGGGGGATAAACTTTGGAAAAAATGTGTTTTCATTTTATTCATTTTCATCAAAAGGAAGCTGCTTCAGAAATAATCATTGGACGTTGTAGTACTGCGCCATGCACTGCCCACCGGCAGCAGCCCCCTGCCCACCACGCCACACAACAAGCTTACTGCTACTCACTGCATACAGGCAGAGCTGGCAGCAACCCTCTATATTACATTACCTAATACTTTTCATTCTCAAAGATTGTGGCTTTTTTTTTTTTCTTCCCCTAGAAATCCGAATTCCTCCATTGTTTCTAGCACAGTGCCACTACTCAGCACAAACACTTTCCATCTAGGACAGAGTTTCATGTCTGCCCCAAGAAGGTTCAAATTTTACAGGGGGATAAACTTTGGAAAAAATGTGTTTTCATTTTATTCATTTTCATCAAAAGGAAGCTGCTTCAGAAATAATCATTGGACGTTGTAGTACTGCGCCATGCACTGCCCACCGGCAGCAGCCCCCTGCCCACCACGCCACACACAGGAATAGCCACAGACAGGGAAAGCCACATGAGTCTGGCTCTCTGGGTAATCACGCAGTTCTACATGTTCCTCAGACATGTCTGTTCCTCAGACATTCTCCCTGTAACGCTCCACGTGGAAGAGGAACTCTCAGTGCTTTAGTGGAAAACTGGACCCTTTTCTGTCGAAACCAGTGACTGTTATTTCTGAGGAAAATGGATGGGAAGGCTCAGGCTTAATAGCTGACATGCAGCTCAGTTTTCAAGGGCTTAAGTTCAGCATACTATAAGAAGCTATAAAGAAATGTTGCAGAGAACCATATAAAAAGTTGTTGTTCCCTTTCAAAATCAGAGGCCATCACGTGCAAATTGTGAGCAATATTATTTAAATAGCATTAATAGTACTTAATACTAAATACTATTAAACTAATACTATTTGGTTTCAAAGCATGTCTCCCAATAAATAATTAAGAAATGCCTGATCCTTAATTACATTGTGTTACGTGTGTGCAACGTGATATAGTCAGAAACTACATCATTCCATATAATCTTTTTCATAGGACTTTTACTTCATTTAGGATGCAGGATGTTAGCATGCAAGGATAAAATTAAGTATGCCACAACAACCATAAAGAAAGCATTTCCTAACTTTTAAGTTAGGAAATTTTTAATGTTCCTTTGTATGTAATAAAACTTAAAATAGAATTTAAAGCCTGTTGTCTTTCCAGCATCTTTTCCAGCATCTTTCCAGCATCCGACCAACTTACGGTGAGCAGCCTAACTGTTCTTTTCCTCCTCCAAACTCTGCATATTTATAAGTTTCTTTTGCATCAGTACCTATTATATATTTATTAAAAAGTAACTAACAAAAAAAATTGTTAGGCATTTACTCTGGTCAAAAATAGCATTGTTATTTCTAGAATACAGAGAGAATTTCAGGAAAACGGTAAAACTTTTGCTTATTTAAAGGTGGAAGAGTAAATTTACTATTTAAAGGTGGAAGACTAAATTTGAAAAAATAAATGCTTGGGTCAAAGGAGCATACTTCACCCGTTATCTCCTTTAACATCCTCTTCCTGGTGTTAGAATCATAGAATCATAGAATAGTTTGGGTTGGAAGGGACCTCTAAAGGTCATCTAGTCCAACCCCCCTGCCGCGGGCAGGGACATCTTCAACTAGAACAGGTTGCTCAGAGCCC